TGCAAGCCTCGGTGTTGCTCCCACGCCTCGCTCAGCCAGTGAGCGGGAGCCGGTCTGCACGTGGGATCCGAACCCTCAGACGGGAGCGCCGTCGCGCTTCCCAAGCAGCGCACTATCCAGTGCGCCACCGGGCCGGCCCTAAAATCCACAATTTTTGCAACTTACAACTTACTTGATGAACATTGCATGACAACAATAGTAATTATATTTATGGATAAAGCTAAGATGACCTGATATATTATTTCTCTTTATTAGGATATTTAGTACATGCCTACCAAAAGGCTGGCTGCTGGTCAGCTACTCAGTAAAGTTCTTATTGGTTGGTTGTCCCTTTTCCAGTTTATTTCTACTCCTGTTAGCATATACTTTTTCAAACTGTATGTGATAGTAAGGCTTGTTTAAAACCCCATCTTAATATTGCAGATATAGCCATTCTATAATATTTTCTTCAGAAACTGAAGTCTGGTAGCCATGTCTTATTGATTACCAAGCCACCCACATATTTATACTTGCCATCTACTTTATTTGGAGCAGGCTAAGTGCTATAGCAAATGTCTTCAGAATTTCAGTGGTTTAATACAATAAAAATTATTTCTCACTCACATCATAAGTCTAATTTGGCATTGGCTTGGAGGTCTGGATTGGGTGATGGTTGTTCAATGTATGCAGGAGCCCTGCTCCTTTCATCTTGTGGCTTTGTTTCCTCTATTTCTTTCCATTCAGGCTGCAGATGGGAAAGAGGAGAGAGAACACTTTGTTGTAGGAATGTTTTAAGAGCCAGAGCTGGAAATGGAATACATTTCTGTCCTCATTGCATTGGCTAAAACTCAGGGCTGTACTTAATTGTAAGGTAGGTTAGGAAATGTAGTTTAGCTGTATATCGATAAGAAAAAGAAAAATGGTTCGATGAATTACTAAACAGTCTCTGCTATACCACCAGTTTTCAGATTGTTCTTTAGGGTGATTTACTTACATAGGTTAAGTGTTTTTCTAATTTCATTCTCCTTCCCAGCCAAGCTCTTTTGAAACAGTTGTTTCCATAATACTTATCTATTATGAAATTTTCTGTCTAATGCAGTATGTCTTTTGGACATGCTGAAATTCACCAGTGATCTCTGTTGCTATATCAATTGGATATTTACAGTCCATATCTTAATTTTTCTACAGCATTTGGCTATTCCCATCTCTTAAAATATTTTTTTTCCTTGGCTTCTAATATAAAACACTCTTCTGTTTCCTTTGGTTCTTTTTCCTTTGCTTCTTCTTTAAATCTTGATATACCCAAGATTATATCCTTGGTCCTTTTTCTTTTTTTTCATTCTTCCACCCTTGGGCTTCTTTCTCACCATCCTTTTATATATTTTACGTATCTATAATATTACCATTTTTATATATATATATATGGTCCCAAATTGAATCTGTCTTTTCCTTCAAATCATTTTCTCCTTTGTCTTAGTGTATGGTACCTGTTGTACCCAGTTTTTTTAAGCAGAAAGGTTTGAGTCATTCTTGACTTCTCCTTTTCCCTCATTCCCCACATTTGGTCTGGTTGCTTCCGCCTTCTTAATATTTCCCAATTTTGTTCACTTCTTTCTCTCACAGCTCATTAAATTATAGCCTATATTTTTGCAGAGCCTCCTAATTTATTTCTCTGCATCTAGTCTGGTGCCCCATTCCTGTGTAGATGAGGCACTACTGCTCTCAGCATAAAGTCTGACATCCTTATAATATTAGACACATAAACAGGATCTCTGAGCCACTTACAACCTCCCTCAACTCTCCACAAATTGTGTCCTAATTGTGAATGCAATGCAAGAACAGAATTATATGAAGGGGTCTGACTCGATCAGGTTCGACTTTAAAATGATAGCTCTGGCTACCTCTATTTCTTTACTCCCCTTTGTAGCAAAACTCTTTGAAAGAGTTGTCTTAATATTTTTCTTCAGTTCTTTTACTCCCATTCTTTGTTACATTCACTGTTTTCTGTCTTGCTTTTATCAAGTCACCTAAATTGCTCTAGCTGAGGTCACTAATGATCTCCTCTTAGTTAAATTTAGTGGTAAGTTCTCAGCAATTATAGTATGTGATCCATCAGCAACATTTGGCACAGTTGATCACTCTACTTTCCTTAATACACTGTCTTCGCTTGACCTTCAGGATACCATACACTTCTAGTTTTACTTCTTCACTGTTAGCTACTCAGTCTCCTTTCCGGTTCCTTCTCTTCTTGATCTCTTAATATTGGAGCACCTCAGGGTCTTCAGATCTCTTCTGTCTAACTATACTCACATGGCAATCTCATGACTTTAAAATACCTCCTATATTCTTGTAAATCTTTAATTTATATCTCCAGCTTGAACTTCTCTCCCTAACTCCAAACTTGTAAATTTGGCTGTCTTTTAGATAACTCCATGTTTATGTCTGATAAATATCTCAAACTCATACGTCCAAAACTAAAATCTTGACTTTCCTTCTAATATCAATCCATTTTCAGCCTTCCCCAACTCAGTTAATGCTAGCTTCATCCTTCTAGTTGCTTAGGATAAAATCTCTAGCACTATTCTCAGTCCTTTCTTTTTTTCGTACCCTAAATCTAATACACAGGAAATCCAGATGGCTGTACTTCAGACCATATCCAGAATCTGATCACTTCTCACTATTTCCTTTGCTATGATTACTCCAGGTTAAGCCACTATTAATTCTTACCTGGATTATTGCAATAGCCTTCAAACTCTTTTGTCCCTGTTGTAGTTTGAATTTGTTAAGCAAATATTCATCCCTCTCAGTCCCCTTCAACTGGGCCGCATATACTTCCCACTCCATTGAATAGGCTTGGCCATGTGACTTAAATTTGGCCTATGTAATGTTGCCAGGTGTGAAGCAAACAGAGGCTTAAATGTGCTTGTGGCACATTTGTGTGACGCAAACAGAGGCTAAAATGTAGCTTTCTTTTGTTTTTTGATGATATGTCCTGAAAAGAACTTGCACCCAGAATCTGCAATACCTTCAGGTTGGGCCCTAGAAAAACTTAAGTGGAACTGACTCCACAGCCTGGATTCAAGCTAGGCTGAACCTCAGCTTGAAGCAGAATCTCCCAGCTGAACCAGCCTAGGTCAGCTGAACCAGCCTAGGTCAGCTGAACCACAGCCAATATGCAACCTACAAGTGTGAAAATAATAGCTTATTGTTGTAACCCACTGAGTTTTGGGGTGTTTGTTATATGTCATTGTGGCAATAGCTGACAAATACTCTCCTGCAGTCTTTCTTTAGCACAGCAGCCAGAGAAATTATTATTATTATTTTTTTTCTTTTTCTTTTTTTTCCTTTTTGTCTTTTTTCGTGACCGGCAACGGATCGCAACCCTCAGTGTCGCGCCCGTACCGGACCGGGACCGGCAACGGGATCACAACCCTCGGTGTTGCCCCCGCTCCTCGCTCAGCCAGTGAGCGGCCGGTCTGTATGTGGGATCCGAACCCTCAGCGGGAGCGCTGCCGCGCTTCCCAAGCGGCGCACTGTAGCAGTGCGCCACCGGGCCGGCCCCAGAGAAATTATTTTAAAGTCTAAGTCAGATCCTGTCACACTTTACTTAAGATCCTGCAATAGCTTTCTATTTCTCTCAAAGTAAAAGCCAGAGTATTTACAGTGGTATACAAGGCATTGCATGATCTGCTTCCTTCACTCCCCATTACCTCTCTGATCTCATCTACTAATATTTTTTCCTTCTCTCACTCTACTCCTGCTACACTGGCCTCCTTAATAGACCTCAAACATGTCAGGTATGCCACCTTTGTACGAGCTATTTCTTTTGCCTCACAGGCATGGCGTAACTAACTCACTTACTTCCTTCAGGTTTTTGCTCAAATACCACCTTCTCAATGAGGCCTACTCTTATCGCCCCATTTAAATGGCACCTAGAATTCTGGTTTCTCCACATATCCTAGCATTCTGATTTCCTACACATCTTGCTTCACTTCTTTTTTTTTCATAACGTTTATGACTTACTTTTTTAATATGTTTATCTTTATTGCTTGCTGCCATTAGATCATAAGCTCCTCAGAGACAGGGATCTTTGTCACCTTTATTCATTAATATATTGCAATAGCCTTAAATAGTAGGCAACAAAAAAGCATTAATTGAATAAATAAATAAACCAATTAACAAATAAGTAGTCATTAACAATTTTGTTTTCTAAAATGTTCAGGTATTGGAAATAATATGACACTTAAGTTTTAATTTTGTGCAGAAATGGCTATTCATACAAAGTGGCAGTTGCATTGTCTCTTTTTCTTGGATGGTTGGGAGCAGATCGATTTTACCTTGGATACCCTGCCTTGGGTGAGTGTTTTAAAATCCTTTTGAAACTTGTGTTCTAGATAAATCTATTCTTAGAGATTAAATCTCAGCATATTATTAATATTACAAGTTCCATGTAATTGGAGTTGAATAGTTAACATATTTCTGTGAGTACAGAACTAACACTTAGCTCTACAACTCAGATTAGGTAAGAAATACTGACTTTTCCTGTGTTTTTACCTTTATGAAAACACACACTCAAGATAGTGTAGGCATTTACTTAAAACAGTAGACTGGAATGTCACTGCTAGTGCTGGGCACACAGTGGATGTTCAATAAATGTTTTATGAATAAATGCATATCCCCTACTCCTCTAAAAGATGTCCTTCTATTTGAACTTTTGTCACTGTTACCCCGGGAATAGAAAATACTTCTTTCAGGACAAGTTGGGTTGTAACTATGGTGACCAGCATAAGCTGGGGGTAGGAGCCTGACTTCTATCACCCATAGCATCCCTTTCCATACCTTCAAAACTATAATTGACTATAGCTTTTGTTTAAACAATACTTTAACATTCCTGCCCATATTTAAGCCTTACAACTTCTGAGTTTATCATTGTCTTTAAATTCTCTTTAACAGGTAGGGAAACTGTTACCAGAGAGGTTAAGGGATTTATTGAGTCTAGAGGCCTTTCTTTATTCTGTGACATATGTGTTGTTATCATCTTTGTTTTATGGATAGGGAAATTGTCACAAGATTAAGAGATTTACCCAAGGACACTAACTAGTGACCTCAACTTAAACCCACATTTTCTGGCTCCAGAGATCCTGCTTTATTTCCCGTAGTACTCTGCTTCTGTACTGGCCCTTCACTGAGCAAATTTAGAGTTTTTGAATGCTCTGCTTTCTAGCAAGCTAACCTTATTTCTTCCATGTTGCTACCCACCAGAGATCAAAGAAGAATCTTCACTGTGGGGTTGTTGGTAGGAGGTATGTTTCTCACAGCCACACTGAAAACTCAGTGTGATAAATTCATAAATAAAAGTGAAAGTTTAAAGTACTATATATGCTAATTTATTGTTAGCAAACATGTATTCAATGTTTAACTAAGTAAGTTTGTACTATGGAAGTAATGAAGATCACAGTATATATTGGTTAAAAAGAAAATAAATATGTAATAAAATAAATAAGTTGGCAGGCCAATTTATGATATAGCACTGTAACAGAACCATAACAAAGTGCTGTGAGAACACAGAATAGGGACTGATTCCCTTTCCCCAAGTTGGCCTTGGAGTGTGAAGGAAGACTTCTTAGGTGAGATGACATTTAGGCTAGGTTTTGAAAGATGAAGGGATTATAGAGATTTAAGGCATTACAGGGAGAAAATGTGCAAAGGTAGAAGGTTTGAAAGAATGTGGGTGTGCATTGAGAAGACAGAGGATAATTTAGCCTAATGTTTTAGAAAGAATGATGGGTAGGAGATGAAACTGACTGGAGAGGTAGCCTGTGGTCAGATTATATAGGGCTTTGAGTATGTTGCTGCGTAGTTTGGACTTTACCCTTTAGACATCAGAAGCAATAAAAGTTCTTAAGCAGAGTGTCATGGTCAGATTTATATTTCAGAAAGATAATATTGGAAATATTTTGGGAAATGGATTAGAATGGAGAAAGACTTGTGGCAGAGTAAGCTGAAAGGAGGTTGGTGCAGCAGTCCTGGCTTGAGTTACAGTTCAACTTCACTTTCATGCCATTCCTTACAACAACCTTACCATTCTGTAACACAGCTAAAAACCATATAGTATTCACAGAAGGCCTCTTGAGTTGCTAAAATAAAAATCATTTAGTCTAACTTTTTAGATGACAGATGGATGGATGGCTGGATGGATGGATAAAATAGATTTATAATGAGAAAGTAACATGACATGGTGATGGTTACAATAAGTCTCAAAACCCTCTGACTTAGTCCTTACATTTTCTTATACAAGGGTATTTCAGAAAGTTCATGGAAAAAAGGAATTGAAAGATAATACAAATCTTTCCGTGAACTTTTTGAAGTATCTTCATATGTTCTCTTTAAGAGGACAAGACCATCTATATTTTTGGAAAGATTTCTTTTTTTTTTTTTAAAAGATGACCGGTAAGGGGATCTTAACCCTTGACTTTGGTGTTGTCAGCACCACGCCCAGCCAGTGAGCGAACCAGCCATCCCTATATGGGATCCGAACCCGGGGCCTTGGTGTTATCAGCACCGCACTCTCCCGAGTGAGCCACCGGGCCGGCCCCAAGATTTCTAACTTTAAAAAAGTTTTTAAAAGGTTAGGAGAGAGGGAGAAACACAGTGTTTTAGAACAGTTTATTCTGTGATGATTTTAAATATTAAATATATTTTAAATATTTGGCTTACGTGATTTTTTTTAGCTTCTTGTGATGTATGTTAGATGAGCTGTTATGTCATAGTTTAAGTTAATGTTTTTGACTTACTGCAATTCATAATAATATGTTGGTATATACGTCGTGAATTTTTGTTTGTTTGTTTTCTTTTCACAATGACACCTTAATATTGTGAATTTTTTTTCTCTCGGTAGTAAAATGTCTCTGGTTAGTGGATGTTAGTTTCCTACCAGGAGCTGCCTTTCTTTCTGTGGCCACTGCTTCTCCAATCTATTATGACCTTAAGTCAAAGAGAACCTTTCTGTTTGAGTCTGAGAGTCCATAAGTTTGCAAATTTAATTTGTAACATTTGACTTTATGCTTCAGTGTAAAGGTTTTTTTTTTTTTTTTTTAACTTTAAATAATGCACTTTATTCCAACAACCTTTGGATGTTGATTAATTCAACGAATGTTTTGACTGCTAGCTTGAGAAAAGAAACAGTCTGTTATTCATCTGCTATACAGCTTGTTGCCATTATCTTATCTTCCATTCTCTTTATTCCATTGAGCTTGTGACTTTTTATGTCAAATTTGTTATCTTTAACTGAAAATCCTCTTATCTCTTTAAGCATTCAAATATTTTTATCCTTATCTTAGTTGCACTTAAGCTATCTTTTTTTTTTTTTTTTTTTTTTAGATGACCGGTAAGGGGATCTCAACCCTTGGCTTGGTGTTGTCAGCACCACGCTCAGCTAGTGAGCAAACCGGCCATCCCTATATAGGATCCGAACCCGTGGCCTTGGCGTTATGAGCACCGCACTCTACCGAGTGAGCCACGGGCCGGCCTGCACTTAAGCTATCTTAATGTTAAAGATTTTGGTATGTTTTATGAGCTAATCTAATCTAATATGTACATAAAATTACAGTGTTAACTTAAATTTTTTGAATGTTTTAATTTTTAAATGTTTTAAATTAGATTTTAATTTTTACTAAGAATTCAAGGTTAATAAATTTTGGTATTTTCAATTAAAATGATCATTGCCATTAAAAAAATTCTTAACTGGATAATACAAAGTTGACTGCTATGAAAGTAGTTATACCTAGAATCTAAAATTACTTTTTTCTTATAATCTTGTTTAATCTTTCTTCGTGGTTATAAAAAGCAGAAATACTTCGTTAATGTTGTTTATAGTTGGTGGAATTTTATTTACAATTTTTTTTTATTGAGGTATGATTGACGAATAAATTGTATATACTTAAGGTGACAACTAGGTGTTTTGATGTAAATATACCTTATGTAGTGATTCCCACACTCAAGTTAATTAACATATCCATCATCTGACAGTTGCCTTGTTTGAGTGTGTGGGAGAACACTTAAGCTCCTTTAGCAAATTTCAATTATATAATACATTATTATTAACTATAGTTACCATGCAGTTCTATAGATCTCTAGAACTTGTTGGTCTTCTGGCTGAAATTTAGAACCTTTTGACCAAAATCTTCCTATTTTCCCCACCCCCACAACCCCTAGCAACCACCATTCTACTCTCTGTTTCTCTAAGTTTAATTATTTTAGATATCACATATAAATGATATCATGCAATATTTGTCTTTCTGTATCTGACATATTTCACTTAGCATAATGTCCTCCAAGTTTATCCAAATAGTCACAAATAGCAGGATTTCCATCTGTTTTGAGGCTGAATAATATTCCACTGTGTACATGTGTGTGTTGTGTACCATAATTTAAATATTTATAAACCATATTCAAATCATATAAAGGGTTAATATCTAAAATATATAAGGAACTCATACAGCTCAATGGCAGATAAACAAATAGCCTGATTAAAATATGGGCGAAGGACCTGAATGGACATTTTTCCAAAGAAGATGTATAGCAGGCATATGAAAAGGTGCTCAACATCACTAATCAGGGAAATGCAAACCAAAACCACAATGAGATACCACCTCACACTAGTTAGGCTGGCTATTACCAAAGAGACGAGCAATAAGTCTTGGTGAGGATATGGAGAAAAGGGAACTCATTTACACTGTTGGTGGGAATGTAAATCAGAAGACACTATGGAAGACAGTATAGAGATTCCTTGAAAAGGTTAAAATAGAACTATTGTATAATCCAGCAATCCCACTTCTGGGTATATATATATCCAAAGGAAGTGAAATCAGTATCTTGAAGAGATATCTGCACTCCCGTGTTCATTGCAGCATTATTCACGATAGCTAAGATATGGAAACGTATCTCGTGTCTATCAGTGGATGAATGGAATTTCATAAGAACAGAGTAAATAATGTAAATCATGTGAGTGTGAAACTTACTCTTTTTAAGTAATTTAATGTTGAGTGTGGTATTCCAAAATTAAACAAGAGAAATTTGTGGGGAGGAGGTAGGTTGAACAAAATTTTATAAGATACAAAAATTCCTTTAAGAAAAATTTTCTTTACAGATATTTCAAATTCGTTTTTACCATTACTATTTCTTTATAAATGCCTTTGTTTTCTTTTAATTGATTTATTCCTCAATATACCAGTGGTGCTTTAGCTGCATGCCTTTTTCACCATGAAGCCGTATTTTTAAAAATAATTTTTTTAGAGTTTTTAACTCTCAGTGTTTTTAACTTTGTGATTTTTTAAATATGCAATAACTAGCATATT